CAAGAAATTTGAAAAGCTAGTCACTTAGAGACCTTTACGATAGGTCTGAAAAACGACACTTTCCTAACCTGCACGTATTAACTCACTGCTGTCCGGCTGGAAGCAACTCACGGCGGACTCTCCAGCAGTTTTCAGAGGCAGTAACTCTCAAGAGAGAAGCAGCGGGATTTGAACCACCTTGCACTCCCAACCCACGAGGCCACTGACCCACGAGGCCATTCGACCCACGAAGCTACCAGAGCGCAGAAAAAAAACTGAGGCTCATAATTGAGCTCCTGAACCACTCTAGCAACGAAACTATCAGAGTCACAAAGGCCGGAAAATGTTTGAAAGTCAAGAAGTAATATGGCGACTTCCAAAAAAAGAACAATTTTCAAGAGTTTTACCAGTTGGGTGCCAGTAAACATGGACAAAACGGAACAGTTTAGTATAACAGAGGTCTCCCCCCAGCAGATATGACTTCAGCTAGCATTCAAATTCCCTCGTGTAAGCACCCAGGTCCTTCCCTTACCACAAATTTCCACTACTTCTGAACCAACAGTAGCGAATATTCAAGGATTACAAAAAAAGCTGCTAAAATGCTTTTCTCAACAACCCAAGGCGGAGTTTCTTGCCTCTTATCAAGAGGACTGGAGAGAAGCTTCAGTTCTTTTGAAGTAGACACTTTCTCGCTCAGACACAGCCCCTCTCGGCTGCTTCAGGACTTCAGGAAATCGGAAGCCAAAGCTCTTTCGGTTTACACCCACAGGATCTGCAAAGAGGTCTGGATGCTCACAGAAGATTACAAAGAATCACTTCATGATGAAAAAGAAGAGAGGTGTCTGCCTGGACTGCAGTTACTGTCTAGAGGCCGAAGGGTGAACGGGTCATACTCACATCCCAGGTGAGAAATCCAACCCAGGACCCACCACCACGGGGGGGGGGGTGTCAGAGCCCCACAGAAAAGGCAGGAAAGAAAGGTCAGAGCACTACGGGGGTGCAGACCCAAGAGTGTGTGGGCCCACAGGCTGGGCAGTCATCCAGCAGGCCCAGGCTTCTCCCTGTGCTGTACACTTTCCCCACTCAGGTGTGAGGACACCCACCTGCGAGAGAGTTCCTCACTGAGAATGGGGAATCCCTTCCAACCCACTGAGATGGACCCCGGACAGAACACCCTCACTGGTAAAACACTTCCTACTACCACGTGCTAAGCACGGCTTTAGTGGGTAACAGCGTGTGTGTGTGCACCATACGAGCTTACAATATATGGGGGATCAGGACAGTCCCATCATCTTCATGTCCCCGAGAAGTGCCCACCAACCACTTCCCACAGCTCAAGGGGCATCCACTGACAAGAGCCGCCTCGCCAGTTCCTTCTCTCCAGAAAGGCCTGCCCTGGGAGGTCACTTCAGTCCTGGCCTCAGGGGCCAGCGTTCCAGGAGGCAGCCCTTCAATATTTTTAGCATTCCCGGGAAACGCTCTGGGACTGCTGTTGGTACACTGTAGCAAGAATGTACCAAGTGGAACTCAGGGTCCAAGGTCCTGAACGCACCTCTCTAGAAGCCCAATTCACTACATCAAGAGGGACTCGGGTGCCACGGGAGAGTCAGAATTATGCTGTGTACAAGAAATGGGTCACCTACACATCACCTGGGGGAGTTCCATAAAACAACCACGGCACTCCTGAACCAACAATGAAGGAAGTATCGGCATTAAAGTGGTTGTGCACGGCAACACTTCAAGACAAACAGGATACCCTTCAACATACCGTGGATAGGAAGTGCTGGTCATTGTACAGACTACTCATTGAAAGACTACTGTTAGCTAGCAACTCACAGCAATGCAACAGTAAACAACGAACCTGGACTTTTTTTAGGCCAAATCTTTATAGCATACTGTTAGTTGGTAAATACTGCATTTAAAAAAATGAAATCCCATATAGATGAGAAATGCAAACAACAAGTAAAACTTATTACAAACTACAAGTGTTTCAATATTTACACTGAACATAGGTTGAACACAGTAATACAAACGGAAGCTGTTAGTAGGCTTGAGGGTTTATCGGCAGCACCAGGAGACAGTAACGTGTACTTTGCAGCCACAGTTCAAAATGTAAATATATGCAAATCCACCTGCCAAGTCATGCACTCACGCATTTACTCACTCACACTCCCATCACACTCTCACCTTCTCCATACACTACCAAAAACAAACAAAAAACCAAACAAAAAACTTCATTTTAATTAAACACGTAAATCTTGGGAAAAACAAAAACAAATTCTACATTTGGATGTATTAAACCAGGAACACAATAAATGAGCCAACTTTAGACTACAGCCGAGCTGGGACATTTTAAAAATTTACTTATTAAACCTGAGACAGCATTCCTTCAGCTGAGAAGAGCATGGAAATCAAATTGCACTTTTTCCCCAAAGAAAAGAACTAATACTTTGTAACAGAATCTAAAATTTTCAAGAACTATTTTCAGCTTCCAATTTTGACACACACCTGGTTAAAAAAGTGCCTCACAGAGAAAGATGTATCAAGAAACGATGTTTCAAGGCATAAGTGGAATGTTAAAACACAAACCTGCATGAAATGAGTTAAAATTTATTTTGCAATACTGAAATAAGTATCATTTTAAAAAAATCATGATTGTTTTTGGAACATAATTAAATACATAGCTACATTTCTAAACAATATTTTTTATATTTATATATTATATATTAAAATAGGTTTGGCACTTAGCAGCTTCTATTGGTTATTGCATCCCATATTATGAGGCAAATTTATTTTAGAAACACATTATCTAATTTCTGCAGCTACAGTGTCCATGAAGTAAATAAAAATAAGAACTGTTTTTAGAAATGAAGGTATGGAGTCCCGCGCAGGCACTGATACTGCCTTGGAGACCCTCTCCCACCACCACAACCAAGAGTCTCCCCCTGGGGGGCTGGCAGAGACCAGGAAGGACTTTCCAGAAATGAGGACCAAGATTTCATGGAGCATTAGCTGCTGAGTACCTCGGCCTCAGCTTTTGGAGGCTGGCGTCTGTTCTTTCAGGACCAGCCACCATGGAAAGCTCACTCAGTGGGCAAACTCGTTTCCTCTAAAGCGAGTACCTAATTATAAAAAGAATTTTATTTTTCTCTCTTTCAGTGGGCAAGTAGCTTGCTTTGATTAAGGATATCCAAAGTGTCTTGGGCCAAAGTGCAGAGAACAGCTGACTGGCACAGAATAAAAGGAAGGAAAAAACCTGGCTTTGACTTAAATATCAAATCTGGTTGCACTCTATTGTGTGGCAAGCCTGGCTGAGAGCCTCCGTGTGTAAGGGGGCCTCAGGACTTCTCTTACCCAACAGCCTCCACACAGAACAGGGAGTCAGCATGCCCTGTGCGGGTCACAGCCTATGATCTCCCCAGGTAGCAGATAGGTCACTCTGATTTCTAGTCGTGGCTGTGAAATCACCATGGTGTTCCACAGCCATGTCCTGGCATATAAGCAGCATTGCACGTAGGAAGTTTCTAAAAGAAATTCCTGCTCTTTAACTTAGAACCAAAGGGCACATTTATGCACTGAGCAATCATTAAGACAAAAATGCTGCTTCTTAGAGACATAGTCTAAGAGGGATTAAAAGAAAAAAAAGCATAGAAAACAACTAAAAATGAAGCAGTATAGAATAAATTGATTAGAAAGTTGCTCTTGCATAAAATTCAAACCATAAAGTAGTCAAAGCACTGTGAAGTCCCTGATTTCACACAAAGGTGGTCTCAGATGACTGGGAAAGAGCATCTTAATAACAAGTATTAAGATATTTACTCAAAATAAACTGCATCATCAGAGGCCTGTCTCTCTCTAATAGGAGGGATGTCAGACAATGCGGGCAAAGGCAGGGGTCAGGAGGAGGGCAGTAACCTGCTCTCCTGGGAACAGAATGAAATCACATTGAGGTAGTTTTCTCTACCAGCCAAACTCTGCTTGTCACATGATTTAACTGACACATCTTACGAGTGAACAGCTCTGAAGAGGCCAGCAAGACGAGGCGTTTGACACAGATTCGCCTTCTAAGACGAGTGTTCAAGCCCCAAACAGCAGTAAACAAGACTCTATGTGCTTTCAGGTAGATAACTCCTAAAAGGTTTGATCCCCTCATACTTTGTCTGTACAGTTGCTTGTGGTTTTTTTTTTTTTTTGGTAAGTCATAGCTGACTTTCATCATGCATCTGACTCGGGCCTATCGTTTATGAACTGTCCCGCTTAGAGAACTAGCCTCACACTTTTCAAACGACTGATTGAGAAGGGAGGATGGCACTGCAGGAGCCCCACCCGGATCGCAGCCCAGCAGTCATGGTCAAGGCCATGGCAGGGCACATCTCAGCTTCCACGTTCGGACGCTCCAGCCAGGCCCGTACCCCTGCTCGTAGACTTATCCACTCTTCTGGCCATGAAGATAAAACGTTATAAAAGAAATGTTGTTATCTTAGTTTCAATTCACCACAGTATAGTTTATAAAAATGATTCTCAGGACAGAGCACTAGTGATAAAGGGCAACTAACCAGCATCTGGTCCCCGCTAACGCCTCAAGCACACACCCCTCAACCTCTGGGCCAGGCGGGCGCAGCACCTTCCCAGTGCAGCGGGAAAGCGATCTTGGGTGTCTGGATATGTTGATTTGCATATACGGATTGTTTTTTATACTAAAGCCATGTCCTTGAACACAGCAGTCTGTAAGATATGACTTCCCGTCAGGGAAAATGCACCTTAGTATTGTGACTTCAGTATTTTACACGGTACCAATCCCCACTTCCTAGCCTCCATCTATCCATGAACACATCCAAGGGAGCAAGGACTCCCCCTGGGTATTCCTGACGGTCTCATGCTCTGGGCAGGAGCCGCAAAGCCAGCTCCTGACTCCACCCAGTTACCACGCCACAGCCCAGCCCGGTCGCCGGGCTGCCGCACCCCGACGTGAAGCGATGCTGTGAGCACTGGACCAGGCCTTCCTCCCGCTCTGGGTCCGGTCAAGGTGAGTGCACGCGGATCCGGAACAGGCCTTGCTGCAGCTGCAGGCGGAAGAGCTTGCAGTTGGCGATCCGTAAGGCGGCGCAGCCGGTACGGCGCAGGTCGGAGGGCAGCAGTGGCTTGGTGTGGTGCCAGGTTCCTGTGCTCCGCTTGAACTCGCGCACATAGTCATAGTTGGTACCTGCAACAGGCAGAGGTGAGATGCGGAGCTCGGGGCCACCAGGAAGCTGCCCAGCGGTCACCAGGGTGTCCTTACCTGTATCCAAATCCCCGATAACATAAATGCTGGCACCAATGGGCACAGCGCCGTACACAAATGAGGAGCTGGCGGGAATGCACAAGTTCTGGTCGTTAAGGTAGATCCACCTGAGAGGGGACAGACAAGACTGGAGTCAAAGGTCGCCAGGCTGTCCAGGACAACTGAACTGGAGATGTCCACGTGTGTGTCCAAGAGGTGCCCACTGTCTGCTTGAGGACAGAGAACATACAAGCGTTCACAACCTGAAAATTACTGGATGAGGTAAGGAAAGAGGCACACAGCATGTGAAGAGGGTGCAAGGACAGAGTCCGAGGTACAGACGTGCAATGCTCAGTCTCTCAGCTGCAAAGCAGTGAGAGGTAGGCCAGGGAGGGATTACAGAGGGTGGCGTGGGGTGAAGATGCAAATGGTTTGCAAAGATGGAGTCCACGATGGGCAGTGGGGAGAGAGCTCTACATGAAACCTGGTACACTCAGAATAAGACTGGTGTACCCAGGGTCCAAAGCTTGAGCTGAGACACCAGGGGGGAGGCTGGCAGGTGGCGGACCTGGCTGTGACTGTGCCCGAGACCTGAACAGAGAACGTGGAGGTCATTGGCTGAGAAGTTTGTGGGGAAAGCCTGCTGGTCAAGGGAGGACAGCACCAGGGGAGTGGGCAGTGCCCCATCCAGATGTGGGGACAGCGGAGAAGTGAGGACAGAAAAAGCAGCCTCTCTGAAGATGAAACCACCTGGGGTCCCCGAGGATCTGGGGAGCGAGGAGGATACGGCTCCCAGTGTGGAGGAGAGGACTGCACAGAGGCACCGTCAGAGCAGAGGGGGAGGGCTGGGTGAAATGCTGACATCAGGGGCTGGGCCAGGAGAGGCCTTCTCAACAGTGGGGCCACAAGCACAGGCCAGGACAAAGTCGCTGGGACACAAGTGTGGGGCAGGACAAAGAGAGTGAAAAATGGCCAAGGGGTTTCAGTTCATAGCTGTTGAGAGCTCTGAAAATGGCTGAGAAGAGGCAGGCGCATTCTGAAATTGATCTGGGGATGAGAAGAAAAACTGCATGTGGGTGATAACTGGATTGGAATGGTTCTTCCTTCGCAGAGGCGCTGGGGTTCTCTGCAAACATGACTGGTTTATTCTCTGGACTGTTCTCCCAGCAGCTGGAAAGCATGACAACAGCACACACTTTACTGCCTTCGTGCGAAAGTCTCAGAGCTCTTTTGTGAAAAACTCAGAACATACCAACACTAAAAATAATGACAGGAGGAGGAAAGTCACACCTTACTGAACTAGGAGGCTACACAGGTGGACAGACCACCATTCACAGAAAGGACTCTCTCTCCTTTACAACAGGGCTATATTGTGCAATCAACCATGAGTATTGGTCAAAAGCCATGTGGACTACAGGGAAACGGAAGGCCGTCTTCTGTTCCAGCAAGAGAGGCAGACCCTCACCAAGATGGACCAACGCAGTCACCACCAGCTCGAGCGTGACAGGACAGCGCAGGACTGGGCAAGGCTCAATCTGCTGAGCACAGGTTGCCAGCAGTCATCGTCCACTTGATGAAAATCTAACAACAAGTTTCGTTTCAGCTGGTGACACAGTAGTTTCATTAGAAAGGAGGCAATGCAGGATGATAAATTAAGTGCGCGGCCTGGGTTTTGCCAAAGGAACTCTGCTTGAGTGTTGCATGGTATCTAGGAGGCTGCCAACGAAAGGCCAATGGCCAGTGGCCACGAAGATGCTCAGTGGGAGAAGGTGAGCAGTGTCTTCCAAGAGTGACCCATGGCCTGAGGGAGCTGACGGGAACTCAGTGAGGGGCAGAAGTGACTTGCCAGCAGTGGGTTTGATGTTGGCTTACTGAGCTTGTCAAAGAGTTAATGACCAGAAGCAAGTCAGGTATAAAACAAATGATCCTGATAGAACTAAAAAAGCTATCAACTGCTGCTATGTCAAATCCGCCTCTTGGCAACCTCGCGTGTTCCCAGCAGAACGACTGTGACTTTGAGGGAGCTGTTGTTGGTCAGGCCTTTCCTCTGAGACGCTCTGGGGAGTGGGGTGTCTGAAAGCCACCTGTTCAGTTAGCTGCCAGGTGCATAACCATTTGTACCACCCAGCAACTCCATCTACCAAAAGTACCCCCACCTCCAGTAAATTTCAGATAGCAAATTAGAGACTTAAATAATTTATGGACAACAATAACCTATCTTAAGAACACATTTCAATGTTTTTTGACAAATGTGTATCCATTCCTTCAATGAGTAATCCAAGTAAGGCAAAGGACATTTCCCATCTCCCAGAAGTTGCTCCTGCCCCTTCAGGGTCAACCCTGACCCCCACATTCCACTTCCAGACCAACCCTGATTTGTTTCCTGTCAGTACTAATTGTCTGGCTGTTCTAGAAGGTCCTGTAAAGAAGAGAATTTCCAGTCTGCTTTTGTTGCTCAGCACAATTATTTTCCTTTTCCCTTTTTTAAAAAAAACCTTTTATTAATTTTAATGAACATTTACAGACTTTGGATTTCCATTCATTCACTGTTGCATTTTTCTCCCTGCCCACCCCTCTCCCCTAGTTCACGCTTCTCTTTGAAAAGTAAAAGAAAAATTATTTCATTGTTATACAATTTCCAATTCCGCCCCCCCCCCGTATACTTCATTATGCAACCTTCATTCTGGACTCTTATCATAACCATAATGCCCAATCATATATCGCTTTTAAACAGTTCCCTCCCTCATCTGTTTCAATGCAGTAGTCATAATTTATCCAATTTTTCTCAGTCTCACCCCAACCCTGATGTCAGTCCCGTTCTACAACAGTGGCACTATGCAGTATTTGTCCTTTTGTGACTGAGATATTTCACTCAGCATAATGTTTATTTTTTTAAGAAAATTTTCACGGTTGTATTGTATAATAAGGCCCTGAAACATCTGAACAAATCAATATCTGGGCGGTAAGGCAGCTACTTTGTCCTTCACTTCTTTGCGTTACTAGAGCACTTGTCACTTGATTAAAAAGAAAGAAAAAAAAGACAACCTTTTGCATTACTTAAGTCTTTCCAAGGCATGCGCTGGTACAACACAAACTTCTGTCAGATGCAACCAGTCTAGTGTCCAAGCATCACGCACTGTTAACCCCTCGGTGGCGGCAGTGCACTGCACCCACTCCCACCTTGGCCTTGCTTGTGTATGATATTTGGAGCATCTGCAGGAGTGTGAAGAGTATCGGAAAAAGGAGGGAGGAGGAAATAGCATTAATGCCTGGCTGGGACGAGGTCAGCTGAAGTTGTGCAGAGAAAGCCTGAACATACCATTGGTGCAAACCCGAGCATCACTGATATTCTTTAACAGGAACATCTGGTGGAAGCCCATGATGGGGTCTTCGTGGGCCTTGAGCTGGCCCACAGCCATGCTGAGGATACAGCTGTCTGGCGTGGGCTGATGGTCCTGCGACGTGACGCTGTGCGGGATTTTCTGGAACGGAACGCTAGACAATTTCTCCACAATGGCAGCTCTCCCCTGGAACTGCTGTCCTTCCCATTTAAGGCATGATGTGTCGATATAAATTGCGCCTACTTGGACTCTGTCATTATCAAATAACTGGTAGTAATGCTGAATGAAGCTGGATCCAGTCTGTTCCCAAATTGGCTTGTCTCCCATTATGGGGTGTCGCCCAGCCTCCGTGAGACCCGAGGGGCTGGCACGATGGCGGCGGCGGCAACCCCGTGCGGTCTCAGCATAATGTTATTTTAAGGGATACATACAAACTGTTGGCTGTATCTGAGTTATTTCTGAGTTATTACTATTCCACTCCATGAGGGAGTCTGGTGGTCTAGTGGAGAGAAGTGACCAAATCCACCAGTTGCTCCATGGTAGAAAGACAGGCACTGTCCTTCTGTGTGATGTACTGTGTCTGAAAACCCAGGGAGGGTTAGTGACGATTTGGTTCTGACTCAACAGAACACATTTCACTATATGAGAGGGAACTCGGGTGGCCACGTCTGTAGGGAGCTGTGCTGTCAACCCAAGGGCTGAACCTCTCTGCAGTTCAAACTCGCCAACGCCTCTGCGTGAGGAGCGTGGGCAATCTCCTCCTGGGCCATCCAGTGGAGGGCCAGGTAGGGGCTGGTCTCACCTGACAGCAGTGACATCCCATTACGTATGTGTAACAGGATTTCTCATCCACTCGCCTGCTGCTGTGAATGCTGGCTGTCGGCTCCCAGCTGGGGCTGTCATCACGCAGTGGTGTGAACGTTAGAGTGTGCGTCTCCCTTGGGACTTGGGCTTCTTGCGATGGAATTCTAGGTAGGGAACTGCCGGGTTGTGTGATAAAGGATGTTTCCTTTGGTAACTGTTTTTAGAGTGTTGCACCATTTTATTTTCCAATTAGCAACACATCAGAGCTCTTCCAACTGTTCAGTATTACCAGTGAACTTGGTTATTGTTGGACTTTTGAAATTTCTGCCAGTCTAGAGGGTCTCCTTTCTCCTATCACTATTTATGCCGAGCATTGTTGCGCATGTGTTTACTGGAAATTTCTTTTTACGTATTCTTTAGTGAAATGTCTGTTCAAAAAGGTTTGTTTTTAGAATTGAGGTTTTGGTCCTATTGAATTATAAGCTTCTTTGCATTTTGCTAAGTCCTTTGTTAGAAGACGTATTGTAGATATTACATCTCAGCAGGCAGATGACTCGCCTGTTTTCTTCCTGAGATCTTTTGAAGAACAGAAACTTTTAATGTCACTAAAGACCAAATTATCCATTTCTTTTTCCTTTTAGAATTCATGTTTTCTGTCTTTATAAAAAAATTTTGCCTAGTCCAAAATTGTCCATACCATGGACCACCATGAAAACAGACAGGTCTGTGTTGGAGAGGGTGAAACCAAGTTTCTCCTTGGAGGCAAAGACTGTGAAGCTGTATCTCACACACTCAGGGCACGTGGCTGGGAGGAACTAGTCCCTGGAGAGGACATCGTGCTTAGAAGGGTGGAAGGACAGTGCAGGAGAGAAAGATCCTGGAGGAGATGATTTGACACAGTAAATGGTAAAGGGGTTAGGTGTGTTAGAATCTGTGATATTGGTTTAGGACAGGGCAGACGGGATCGCTATGAGTCATGGGCA